GAGAGAGAGAGAGAGAGAGAGAGAGAGAGAGAGAGAGAGAGAGAGAGAGAGAGAGAGAGAGAGAGAAAGAGAGGTTTGTGGGACGAGAGAGAGAGAGGCGAACCTGACTTACCTCGTTGTGTTGCTGCGCTGGAGAGACAGCGCACCCTGCTTCTGAAAGCGGGCCATGCTGGCTCTGGCATCATCCTCCATTGCGCCAGTTGGTCATTGCGCAGGAGGGTTCAACTGTACTTTGGTGAGGTTCTTGTGGGAGCGACATTGGTTTCATAATCTGTACAGTGTTAGTTTGGAAACGGCTATCGGTAGGTGAGGAGCAAGCCTGGAGGTTGAAGGAGGGAGTAAGAGCTGTGATTCTATACACATTGATTATCACTGGAGCCATCCTCCTCGTCGCTTATTCTTCTCTTCCCTTGTGTACGTCCTACGTTCTCATCTACTTGCTGCTTCTGGGTTGCTGTCAATCATTGTGCAATGTGAGTTCGTGCACGGTGTGAGGAAATTGAGCTTATTTGAATCGGGTTCATCACAATAGGAACATGTTTTAGAGGATTCCCTGAAGGAGCTACGCTGAGGGAACAGACTCCACAGAGAGAATCTTCAGAGTTAAAAAAAAAAAGGGAAAGCAGAGAAGAGGGTAGGTTACAGGAGGCATACAGTTTACCAGTGCTATAAAAGCCAACAACCGCACCTGGTCCTTGCCTGCATTTGGACAGATACAGGTGCAGATACAGATACAAATTTTTAAAGTTCCTGGGTCTATCTCACTGACCTTATCAGCCACACTAGAAGACTGATAGGGATACTGAGGTTTGAACTGCAGTTACCCTGGGCGGGAAGCTTGGCATATGCCACACTAGAATATTGATAGGGGTGATGAGGTTTGAGCTCCAGTTACCTTGGAGGGGAAGCTTGGCATGTGCCACACTAGAATATTGATAGGGATAACGAGGTTTGAACTACAGTTACCTGGGGGGAGCTTGGCGTGTGCAGCAACCTTGGCCTGTGCTTCATGAAGCATGCCCTGGAGGAGTTTGTTGGCATCATTTGCCAGGTCATCAGTGATAAGGAACAAATGAACCGAGCTCCTTAGCACATTAGACGACAGAGCAATGCTCACCGCTGTCTCCAGCTTGTCCCCAGTCAATAACTGCTCACTCACAACCAGCAATTTCCCTCCCCACACACACAACACACACACACACACACACACACACACACACACACNACACACACACACACACACACACACACACACACACACACACACACAGGCATGCGCACGCACACGCACACAGAGAGGAAGATAGAAGCACACTCTTTAACCAGTGGATAAGAACACGTGAGCTGCGCTTGAAAATCCGAAATTCTAAGCCCAGATGAAGTTAGAAAACCAGGACGTGGTACACCCCTGAACTGTTGCAAACTTGCAGATGAATAAAACACTCCAATTCTGAATTACATGGGGCCGGTCAGTTCAATGAATGATATCTCAAGGCCGTAGCCCTTTTTTTAAAAAAAAGGAAAGAAAAAAAGAAAAGCAGGACCTCAACCAAAGGAAAGTTTGGCAGGTTACACACCTATATGGATGACCAGCAAAACACATGCAGAACTGAAAAAAGGACTCCAGGAAAGCCCCGAAAACGGCGAAAAGATGTCACAATCTTCAAGAGAATCTCAGAGTGATGGAAGAGAGCATACCGCTGGACCCGGTTTCCAGCAGGTGCAGCTCCCCACCAGTAGATACAGTGACCTGAATGGGTCCTAATAGGGGGTGGGGTTGGGGGTGCTCATATCACCCGTCCCTTAGGCTTGCCGAGTCTTTAAAAGAAGAAGAAAAAAGGAACAGCCTACCACTTCAATGGGTCAAGCTGCTGAAAGCTCTGCAAGAACGGCAGAGACGAAATTGGGCGGTTAGAAAGACAGACCAAAATACAGAGGATGTCTTTGTCTTTTTCTCCCTCGGGCCTCTGCTGTGAGGAAGAAGGCAATAAAGCGTGGTCTACATTCAACGCTTACAGACCGCACCAACGAACTGTCAAAAATTCAAAATACAGACCAGGGCGACAAGTACCAGCAGGTCTGTCTTTCTAGCTACCCACAGAGCAGGGCCATAAGGCATAGCTCAGTTGGTACACCCATGAACTGTCGAAATATGAATTAGATCCAAGTTCGAGTCCAGATACAATCAGATGATTAGAATACAACCATTCGGAATAACCTGGGGCCAGTCAATTCAATGACGAGATCTCAAGGCTGACGCACTTTTTTTTTCTTAATTTAAAAAAAAAGAGTCATTTACAGACTGCATGAAGGGAGGGGTACTAGCACAAGGGTAGAAGAAGAACTGAGGGCGGAAGTTTCTTTAAGATTAAGAGATTTGAGGAGAACCAGAATAGTGGATAGAAATCGCAGGTTAACATATCTACCGTCGAAGGAGATCTATGAATGAAAACATTGAAAAGTGAGAAGAGCACCCTGCAGAGTGGTCGTGGGAAATGGGGAGGGAATTGCGAGGAGTGGAGAGATGCTACACACTCGCAGAATACACTAGTCTTCACCCGAATAGAAAGCCTGGTCATTATCGCTGCATCTGGACCGAAAGTTGTGCCAAATACAACTATAATGACCGGGCGTTGTATTCGGGTGAAGACGGTAGGCTAGGCTACAGACTCAGAGTTACAGGGCAAGACAATCAGGCTGTCGTATGCCAGAGGTGGAACAGCTACCCACAAGGAAGAGAGGAGTAAATTCGGGAGTTTACTATGGCTCGTAAACCACCAGCACATGCCAGGCATCGGCCGCGGGCCCCTTTCGGAGGCCGCCTGCCGTGGATTTCCGTGGATTTATGTTATCGACTGCGCACGAGCATCCTAAATTTTAGGAGAGGCTCAATCGGACTCTCAACTTGGCTGGGGCCATGTACTGGTGCTTTATGAGTCTTAACATACTAAGTGCCGTAAGCGGTACCAGTTATTGAATGGCTTACGGCATTCTGGAAGCTGCGAGCTTAAGGCACAAAACCCAGCTCACTGTGTGGAGAGGGTTCCGAAATGTTGATGTGGAACATCCAACTTCAAAAGCTGAAAAAACTTCAAAAAAGAACTCTTCAGATCTTTTGACGTTTACGGTTTTCCTCCTTGCTGTCTTTCTTATCTGGTCTTTTTACGCCTCGTTCTCTTCTTCTTCTTCTTCTTCTTCTTCTTCTTCTTCTTCTTCTTCTCTGTTATTTGTCTTTCAAACTATTCTACTCCTCCTCCTCTTTCTACTTCTCCTCTTCCCACCTCCTCTCTCCTCCTCCTCCCTCCTCCTCCCTCCTCCCTTCTCCACCCTCCTGCATCTCCTCTTTTTCCTCCCCTTCCTCCTCCTCTCTTCTCTCTTCTTCATGATTACAGATGTGTGTGATGATGTGATCACTTCCTGACCCCCTTCGTGTCCTCTAAGTAAAACAATAACTCAGTCCAAAGCAACCACACAATGTCAGTTGCATTAATTTATTTGATTGTAATCTAACCAAGTAATAACAAGAATAGCGAGCCCAATAGCAGATTCTGCAGCAGCTACTTGCATTTTGTTTGAGGATCTCCAAGTGGTACGAGGGTGAGCACGGAATGGAATCCTTAAAAAAAAAAAATTGGACTTACCCAAATCTTCAACCCTGCTTGACGCAACTTTTTAACTGCCTCAGGAACACCGTCTTGGAGCTTATCCTCCACAGCTGTCACTCCCAGGAGCACCTAAAGAGGGAGTAAAGACCAATGGTACATTTACTAAGTAATACTAACATATTGCTTGAAGGTCCATTGCATTTCCATCACAGCAAGCTGCTTTTCTTCTTGCTCCAACTAGCCAGATGAAAGATTAGAGAGATTAGAACTCGATACAATGTAGTCGAGACTTCATTATCGCAGAGTAACCACATTGTGTGTGCAATGGAAAGATCCATGCAACAGACCTTCTAGCCAGATGACCATCTACATGCAGCTCACATTGGATCATCGCTTTTGCAAGTTCATTCAACGCATTTCATAATGGTGTAGGTCCCCGTTCTCTCTCTTCTGGCTCCGGTGCCTCTTCAAACGATCAATCGATCTGAGTGGCGTTTTGAGTGGAAGGATTGAGTTCCCTTGCCGGTGTGCAGGGTTAAGGGAAGTTGGGCAGGAGATGATGGCGCCTCACTATTAAAGCTCAAGTCATCTCCTTCATTGTCTTTTCCATATTGTGTAATCTATTTTCTTGTTTTCTCATGCTCCTGCTAACGAGAAAAAACAGGAGAAATGTGGTTTACTCATTTGTTAGCAAGTGGCTCAAGCCGAATATTTGGGGCAATATGCGGTCCAGATGCACAGAGATAATGACTGGGCTTTCTATTCGGGGGAAGACGGTAGAAGTCAACTCATTGATTTTCCCTGTAGTATGGCACTCAGCATCAGCTTGGGAACCACCAAAGCAGCTGAAAAGGAAGGCAGCAGCTTATCTGTGCACAGAGGACGCCTTGAAGGAGCGCTTTACGGCATAGGTGTACAGCAAGACCAGCCAGCCAGGCGTACGTAAGTCCTTTTTTTTTTTTTTAACTCAGTCCCCTATAGTGCTAGCGATGCTGATGGGAACAGACACCGCTAGCACCTGGAGACAGGCCCCATCTATTGGGGGGAATACGTAAGTCTTATAAACCCGATTATCGTAAGATTTAATCTTTCACCAAGAGCTTCCATGGCATGGTATGGCACTACATCAAATCAGGAGTCTAGACGCAGCTGAACGGAATACTCGTGAACGTGAGATGCTGGTGGGATAATTGCCCGGCCGTGTTCGGCGGGGCCGATCCGCATTCCAAGTCGATCCGAACGTTGAAAGGTATCATAAAAAACAAACACTGGTTCCCATGCACAGAAGGGGGAAGAAGAAGACAAGAAGGAGCACAGTGACAGATAAGGGAATCCCCCAATGGGCCCTAGACAACCTTGATCAGCACATGGAGAGAGGCTTTTCCAAAGGGAGGGCGAAAACCAGAAACCAAAGAGGAGGTACTCAGGAAATCCCATTCCCCCTGTTGAAGGAGGGACCAGTTCCCAGCATTTGATGTTGTTATTTTCCGACTGATCAATGTATTTCAACTTTCAAGGGACGCTGGACCCACTTTCCAGCAGGTGCAGCTCCCCACCAATGGACTGGAGCCCCCTGAGAAACAGGTAGTAGTGTATGCTCTTACCATCACTCCTGTCTGCTATCACAGGTGGTTTTATTTAAAAAAAAAAAAAAAAAAAAGGACGAGAACGAGCAACCATGGGCGACTTTTTTAACGGAGCAAGCAGGTGTGTTGGAACTTGCAAGTGTGAACTCACAAGATCTCTCTCAATGCTGTCAGCAATAAACATGAGTTTCTCTTCTCGCCCATTTATCTCTGCGCCAGCATTCCGGAACTTCCGTGCCCATGCATCAAATTCAACACCTGTTAACTGTCTCCAAAGACTCAGCCAATCAATGAAAATGATGTTTGTTCATCCCAGCCATCCATTGAAATTTGAAACCCCGACCCCGCTTTTCCCTGCCCCTCTGCCCAACACCCGCCCCCGAAACACAAACACACACAACAAAAAATGCACACAAACACACACAAAAAAAAACACACACATCCACACATTTGCATTGTTCCACATTACTACGGAGTTCAGTGAATACAAAGAAAACGGCAGCACAAGGGGTGTGGCAAAGAACAGCTCATGAGCAAGTATGTTCATTCCCGTACATGGGGCTGACTTTGGGGAGTATGGGCTGCCCCAAACAAGACCCAATTTTTACAGGGTTTTTTTTTTTTTTTTTTTTTTTTTTTTTTTTTTTTTTTTTTAAATAAAAACAGGTCCTTATGACCCTGGCTCCATTTCCATTCTGGGGAGCATCAATCCGGTTCCTATTCCACCGGCAAGTCRGAAAAAATAATTACATCATATAACACCCTCACGCTTCCTTCCGTCTGGCCGAAGGAACCCTGATCCGCATTGATTACTCCAACATCGTGGAGGATTGACTGTCAGCTTGCCCTGCTTCCATCTCTCCTCTCAGGACTACTATAAGAGCCTGTCAGATAAAACATAAATAGCAAGAGAGGTCTAAGCAGCTGCAACTGCTTCCAATCTCTATGTACACCCTAAATTCCCCGTATGAGCCTCGTGAGATCTCTAACATTCTCACCCCTGCTTGTCTTGTTTCTGTCCACACCCTCCAGCTAAAACCCTAAACCCTAAACCCTAAACCCTAAAACCTTAAACCTTAAACAAAATTATTCTTTTACCATCTGTTCCAGACGAACCATCGGCTGCCGTCTGCCGTGCGTGTGTCTTGGATGCTCTTCCAGGCCCAGAACGGAGCTGGTTCCTCGTGTACCTGGATCTTCAGCTGGAATACAGACTAGACATAATTGATTTTTTATTTTATTTTTTCTTTCCAAGAGCACCGTCTGATCTAGGCTCAACGGAACTTATGTTGCCCTGAAGTCCTATTGCTCCTCCTGGTCTGGAGTTGTCCTCCTCTGGGGGATGGACGAATTGTGCCAGTCTTTCCACCTTATTTGTAGATCCTGGATCTCAGCTATCTTCCCTTGGACACGCCATACCTTGTTGAAGTTGGCGACCAACTCTTGCTGTTTCCCTGGATTTTGCTGAACTTGGCGTCTGGCCTTCTTCCATTGACACCAGATATCGGTCTCCATGAACTGTTTCGTAGTCGCCCATACCTGTTCAGTCGGATTAGTCGTCTTGTCAATTGTCCTGTTGCATCTCTCCTTCCAGATGGCCCACAGTGTCACCTTCCTGATAATTCTGAACCAGACGCGTTCCGATTTGGGGGCCAAGAGATGGGGTGTTAGTCCATAGGAGAAGTTGGATTGGGTGTTCGGGTAGGGGAGAGGGAAATAAGTGGTCCCATTGCACAGAGGCTCTTGCCCACAGGTCAGTAGCGAGTTTACAAGTGATCAGGCAGTGTATTATATCTTCCTGTTCATTGTCTGAACATACCCCACATTCTTCTGAGCTGTTCGGATCGCTGTTCTTCCTTCGCATATGTAGCCAGGCATTCGGTGGGAGGGCATTGTAGGTGATCAGCCATTGGAGACTTCTTATTTTAACTGGGCGAATTGATTTGTACTTCCGCCAGGGGAGTTCCACAATTGGTTCCATTCTCTGACCGAGCAATTTGGTCCATCGTTCTATGATTACTGGTTCGGGGTCTTTGGTTCTTAAAAACTTTTTGTATCCCATCTTAACTGTGTACTGTGTTATCTGAGTAGGATTCTTACAGAATCTGCTGGCTTCTGGGAGCCACGCCCATTCATGTGGGTCGAATTCAAGGTCTTGGATTGCTGTGTCCGTGTGGAATATACTCTTCGGCCAGTTCCCCAATACACTCACTTTTTTTTCTCAACGTGTAGGAGTGCAGAGTTACTTCTTGTGGGTCAGTTTTGTGAATGGCGAGGGACTTCAGGTTAGATCTATCTATGCGGAAGGAGATGAAGACTCCAGCACGAGCTTGGCCAGGGGACCTGCGAGAGAACTAATACACTTTCATGGGTACTATTTCCTGTGTCAGCACTCCCCATTCCCCTGCTTTCCATGAGAAGTTTTCTTTCAAGAGTTCTTTCCAGTGGTGATACTATTGACCAATGCTGACAGATTCTCGTCCCGGCGGTGACATCCCTTTAGTAGCATTTTTAACTGATTCTCATTTATCCAGTTCTTTTTCTCTTCGTCCCAGATGTGACTTACTTTCCAAACCCCATGCCTAATCCAGGAGAGCCATCTCTGGCCTCCTGCTAATGACAATGGCTGGTCTCCTCCATCTTGAATGTTCTGATTCCCAAACAGAGGCTGCCGCAGCACCTCTTCTTTGGATTTGGGTTTCTTAACCTGCTTACGCATTATCTCCCTCCAGATCCTGATAAGTGCTGTCCAGTACCGGGTGGGGGGCTGTGTCTCATCTCGCTGCGAGGTTGCTCGGTGTCGTCTCCTTCCGGTTTTCAGCGTCCAATCCTTGTTCATTACCCAAAAGAGACCTGACATGTTATCTGGGGTCTGAACCGGGGCTAGGGATCTGATACTATCCAGGGCCAATTTGTGCCATGCCAACCTGGGTTGGGATAACAGTTTAACTACCCATTTGATCTGCAGAGCTTTGGTTTCTTGTCTAGGATCGACTATCCCTAGACCCCCCTTTGACGGCCTTTTTTAGTCTATAAATAATAAGAAGAAGAAGTACACAAGGGGTGGAAACGGCAAAGACCTATTGACTGCGTAAATCCAGATCAGATCCAGAGACAGCCACCTGGGACACGTAAGTTCGCACTAAAATACGAGAAAGACCTTCAGACGTTTGCTGGAAATATCAGACATACCCAGTAGAAGATGGTAGAGCTGACTCTTATACACATCTAGATGTGTATAGCGGTCCAGATGCACAGAGATAATGACTGGGCTTT